AAATGGAATGCATAAAGAGAAGTATTCTAGGCATCACTGAGTTGAAATGAACTTGTTTTGGCCATTTGGAATCACACAACCATATGAACTACTATGCTGGGACAAATTGAAGAGAAATGGTGTGGCATTCTTCATAACATAGAATGTTTCAAGATCTATCATGAAGCACAATGCTGTCAGTGAAAGAATAATATCCATATGCCTATAAGAAAGACCAGTTAATACTACTGTTATTCAAATTTGCATACCATCCACCAAAGACAAAGAAATTTGAAGATTTTTACCAACTTCTGCAGTCTGAAATTGACCAAAGGTATAATCTAGAGGTATTGATTATTACTGGTGATTGGAATCAGAAAGTTAGAAACAAAGAAGAATCATCAGTAGTTGGAAAATATGGCCTTGGTGATAGAAATAATGCTGGAGATCACATGATGGAATTTTGCATGACCAATGACTTAGTCATTGCAAACGCCTTTTTTCAATATAAAAATATTGAAATATTTTCAATTATATTGAAATATATTCAATATAAAAGCAGCTATACACATGGACCTTACCAGATGAAATACACAGGAATCAGACTGACTTCATCTGTGGAAAGTGGTAACGGAGAAGCTCCGTATCTTCAGCCAAAACAAGGCCAGGAGCTGACTGTGGAACAGACCATAAATTGCTCATATGCAAGTTCAAGTTAAAGCTGAAGACAATTAAAAGAAGTCCACAAAATCTAAAATATAACCTTATCTCCCACCTGAATTTAGAGACCACCTGAAGAATAAATTTGATACATTGACTATCAATGACCAAAAACCAGATGAATTGTGGGATGACATCAAGAACATCATACATGAAGAAAGCAAAAGGTCATAGTGGGCAATGACATATCTGACAACGGACTTGTCTCTAAAATTTATAGAAAACTCCAACCCTTAACAACAAAAAGATTAAAAATCCAATTAAAAAATGGGCAGAAGACATGAATAGACACTTCACCAAAGAGGATATTCAGGTGGCCAACAAACACATGAAGAAATGTTCATGATCATTTGCCAGCTATACACATGGACCTTACCAGATGGAATACACAGGAATCAGAGAGATGAAAATCAAAACAACAAGATACCATCTCACCCCAGCACTAATGGCAAAGTTCAACAAGACAGAAAATAACAAATGCTGGTGAGGATGTGGGAAGATTAGAACTCTCATAAACTGGTGTTTATGGGAGAACTGTAAAATGATACAACCACTGTGGAAAGCAGTATGCCAATTCCTTAAAAAACTGGAATTAGAAATACCATTTGACCCAGCATTCCTATTACTAGGTATATATCCTAAAGAAGTGAGAGCCAGGACAAGAATAGATACATATACACTCATGTTCATCGCAGCACTATTTACAATAGCAAAAAGGTGGAAACAACCTAGGTGCCCATCAACAGAAAAATGGATTACCAAACTATGGTTCATACACACAATGAAATGCTGTGCAACACTAAAGAATAATGTAGAATCTGCAAAACACCTCATAACATGGATGAACTTGGAGGATATTATGCTGAGAGAAATAAGTTAATCATGGAAGGACAAATATAGTGTTAATTCATTATTGTAAAAAGTGAAGGAAAGGTTTATATATGGAAGGAAACTTTCTTTGTCAGTTCAGTTATCAGGGGTGGGAGAGGAGAGGGCAAAACACTGCAAAAAAAAAAAAATTCATTGACCCATGTCACTTTAGTTTTGTATATTCCACTGTATATAAATTATATTTCAATAAAATGTATTTAAAAAAAGAAAAAAGAAAGGAAAGCAAAAGGTCTTTAAACAGGATAGGAAAAAAAAGACCAAAATGGATGTCAGAAGAGACTCTGAAACTTGCTCTTGAACAGAGAGTAGCTAAAGCAAATTGAAGAAATGACAAAATAAAAGAGCTAAATAGAAGATTTCAAAGAGCAGCTTGAGAAGACAAAGTCAGTTATTGTAATGAAATGTGCAAAGACCTGGAATTAGAAAGCCAAAAGGGAAGAACACACTCAGCATTTCTCAAGCTGAAAGAACTGGAGAAAAAATTCAAGCCTCAAGTTGCAATATTGAAAGATTCTATGGGCAAAGTATTGAATGATGCAAGAAGCATCAAAAGAAGATGGAAGGAATACACAGAGTCATTGTACCAAAAAGAATTGGCGATGTTCAGCTATCTCAGGAGGTGGCATATGATCAAGAACCAATGGTATCGAAGGAAGAAGTTGAAATCTGCACTGAAGGAATCAGCGAAAAACAAGGCTTCAGGAATTGACGGAATAGCCACTGAGATGTTTCAACAAATGGATGCTGTGCTGCAGGTATGTACTCATCTATGCTAAGAAATCTGGAAAATAGTTACCTGGCCAGCTGACTGGAAAAGATCCATATTTGTACCTATTTCCAAAGAAAGGTGATCCAACAGAATGTGGAAATTATTGAACAATATCATTAATATCACACACAAGTAAAATCTTGCTAAAGATAACTTGGAAAACAGTTGCAGCAGTGTATTGACAGGGAACTTCCAGAAATGGATTCAGAAGAGAACATGGAAGGAAAAATGTCATTGCTGATGTCAAATGATCTTGGTTGAAAACAAAGATTTCCAGAAAGATGTTTATTTGTGTTTTATTGACTACGCAAAGACATTTGGCTGTGTGGATCATGAGAAATTATGGATAACGCTGGTAAGTATGGAAATTCCAGGACACTTAAATGTGCTCATGAGGAACCTATATATAGACCAAGAGGCTGTCGTTCAAACAGAACAAAGGGATACTGAATGGTTGAAAATCAGCAAAGGTATCCATTAGGGTTGTATCCTTTCACCATCCTTATTCAGTCTTTATGCTCAGCAAGTAATCTGTGACGCATATTGAACTGTAAGCAACATCAAAATAAATGGAGAAAAGGCTGAAGTTGTCAGGTATTTCATTTTACTTGATCCACAGTCAATACCCACCGAAACATCAGTCTAGAAATAAGATGTCATATTGCCCTGGGAAAATACTGTAAAAGACCTCTGTGTTTTTATTTATTTTTCAATTTTTTATTGTGATTTGGGTGAAAGTTTACAGAGTGAATTCATTTTCCATACAGCAGTTCAAACACATTTTATTTCATGGCACTGATTGCAATTCCCCATAGTGTAACAGCTCTCTTCCCATTTGCTCCCTGTAGTTACCTCTTCCCCGGTCCTTCTTTCCTATGCATTTCTGCCTCCTAAGCTATCTACCTGTGCAAATAACTGCCCTTCCGTTCTCCCATTATTGATTGTTTTAAGGAGTGTATCTGCCTGATGCAAATGTTCACCCTATATGCCTGTCTGTTATTTGGCTGGAAGCCGTGGAGTGAGTTCAGTTCCAAACCTGAAGAGGAACTAGAGCCTATAGTCTAGGTTCTGTTAGACCAGTAAACCTGATCTTTTTTATAAATTTGAGTTTTGTTCCACTTTGTTCTCTCACTCCATCCATGATCTCCTGTATTGATCCCTTTCCAGCTGGTTGACAGTGGTAGCCAGGTACCACAAAAGACCTCTTTAAAATGTTAAAGAACAAAGATGTCATTTTGAAAACTAAGGTGCGCCTGACCCAAGTCATGGTATTTTCAATTGCCTCATATGCATCTGAAAGCTGGAAAATGGATAAGGAGGACTGCCAAAAAATTAATGCATTTGAATCGTGGCTTTGGCCAAGAATACTGAAAATACCATGGACTGTCAGAATGAGCAAATCTGTCTTGGAAGAAGTGTAACGAGAATGCTCCTTAGAAGTGAGAATGGCCAGACTGTCTCAGCTACCTTGCTCATGTTGTCAGAAGGGACCAGTCTCTGAAGAAGGATATTATACTTGGTTAGAGAGTCAGTGAAAATGGAGAAGGCCCTCCACAAGATGGTTTGCATGGTGGGTGTGATGATGGGCTCAAGTATAACAAGGATTGTGAGGATGGCACAGGACCAGTCAGGTTTTGTTCTGTTATACGCAGGATTTCTGTGTGTTGGAGCTCTGGTAGCATAGTGCATAAGGCACTTGAGTGCTAATCAGAAGGCTGGCGGTTCAAACCCACCAGCCACTCCTCGGAAGGAAAGTTGGGCAATCTAATTCCATAGTGATATCGCCTCAGAAACCCCTGGAGGGGTCGCTATGAGTCGGGGCTGACTCAACGGCCCATAACAACAACAAAAAAAGTTTGTGATTATTGAAGCAGGTAGTGGGGACATGGAAATGCATTGTACTCTATTCTCTACTTTTGTTATGTTTGAAATTTTCTATAATAAAAAATTTTCACACATAAATTATATGTGTGTGGTAGTTAAGGTTGCGTGTCAACTTAGCTGGGCTGTGATTATGAGTGGATAGCTGGATATAGTTACTTTTGATGTTGAGATTATAATCACCTGCATGGTGGCCTGCTTCTAGTATATAAGGAGAGGCTTTGAAAAGGATTTCTAGATTTTTGGCACATTTGGATCCTGCATTTGGCCATGTCTTCATCCAGTGGCCTACTGTGTTGCCTGCCAAATTTGGGATTGTGCCATTTTACCTGCTGATCATGGGTTTGTCAGCCTCAGCAGCCAGCAGCTGCCTGAGATAGGAAATGCCTCCAGCTCCAATGGGCCTAGAGTAAGAAGCAGAGCTGAAGCCCATTGCCAAGGGGCCCTCACCCATCCCCTAAAGTTGGCACTCTAAATTTGGATTTACAGCCTCCTAAGCTGTAAGAGAGTAAATTCCTATTTGTTAAAGCCATTCATTTGTGGTATTTCTGTTACAGCAGTACCAGAAAACTAAGACAACTTATTTATTAATGCTGGCGTTTAAATTTGGTATATAAAGTATTTGTCATTATATTTTTTTGAAGGGTAAATAAAATACTGTTACTCTGTAACATTTACAGAGCCCTGAATATGCTTATCGTGACAAGCTGCATCAAAAAACTTTTATGCTGAATTCATATTTTTGTGTGTTTCTTTGAAGTCCTTGAAGCACTTAACATGGAAGAAATGATGTCAGCCATTAACTGTTGGATGGAAAGCCAGAGACATGCTCTGCTGTCAACAAACTGGGAAAGTGCTGAAGAAATTTCCATCTTAATCATTGAAGGTTTCCTTCTCTTTAATTATAAGTAAGCATCCCCATTCTAATATTGACTCTTAGTGAATGAAGATGGGGAAACCTGTGAACTAATTATGCTGTTATTTTAGACCCCTTGACACTATTTGGAATAGAAGCTATTTCCTGACCATTCCATATGAAGAATGTAAAAGGAGGAGGAGGTAAGTTTTGAAATCACTTTTGTGGATTGTGATTCAAAAAGACAAACTTTAGGAAAAATGATGAAAGCAACACTATTTAGCAATTGGTATATGTCAGTTTTCAAACAGGGGAGTAAAGGCTTAACTCCCTTACAAAAGGAGCAGAACCTTTTTCCATCTATGATCATCCACATGGAGTAAAGCAAATTACATTTTTCTTAAGAAAATGTACTTTTACAAGCTATTTGGCTCATTTTTCCTAAATCTTCAATGAACTAGTCCTATGTTGTTTATGACTTATAATCTAATTTTATTCTGCTACAACCCCACGAAATACCCATTAGCTAAATGTTTAATTCAGCATGTCAGTATCTTTATTTACATTGGTATCTATCTCTTAGTTCTTCTGTAAAGCATTGGGGGGGGGGTAATTATGAACTAAGTGAATTACAAATTAATTTTTGTGTTGGAGAACTAAATGCGTTTTCTTGCCTTTGTATGTATTTGCATACACATGTATTTGCTCTAACACATGTCATCTTAATCATGTTTAGATTTAGATTTCACCTCTGAATGATTTACTAATTATTCTGACTGTTATTATTTTACTTCATCGATTCTGTGTTTCTGTCTACATAAAGTTTCGTACATGTTTTGGTAGTACAAGGGTCTACGAGCCTCCAGACCCCCCAGGGTACTTTGACGGCCATGTGTGGCCCATGTTTCTAAAGCACAGAAGAGAAATTGAGGACATCACGTGGGAAATTGGTAAGTGCCTTTCTAACCCCCATAAGGCCTTTTACTTGTCATTTCTTTCGAAACCTAAAGGAATTTAGGAGGCATTTTCTTTTTTATTGTGATTTGGGTGAAAATTTACAGAGCAAATTCACTTTCCATACAGCAGTTCACATACACTTTGTCTCATTGACCACAATTTACCATAACGCAACATCTCCCCTTATACTTCCTCCTGATAATTACCTCTTCCCTGTGTCCATCCCTCCATGCAGTCCTGCCCCCTGAGCTGTCTCCCTGTGCATAAGCAGCCCTTCTTTTTCCCATGATTGTTCTCTCCAAGGAGTGTATCTACCTCAGGTAAATGTTCAACTCATATGCCTATCTATTGTTTGGCTGGAAGCCACAGG